TCAAGGTTTTAATCCTTTTGGAAAATCCTCAACGTTGCGGGTCAAGCTCTCGACTAAGCCCCCCAAGAATGCTCAGGAGATGTGGGTCATTATCGAGAATCATATACAACGAGAGCATACACTCAAGAGATCCCAGGAATCTTTTGCGTTGGTAGGACCAAGAGACAGATCGAAGGTTTCCATGGAGAACAACCAATGTTGCCCAAGATGGATAGGCAGTTAACACCCATAACCAAGCCGCGGCGAGAAATCCTCCGGATCCCCAAAGACGAATTACCAGTCCTGAAACCTTTGGCGCCTAATCCAAATAGGTCAACAGAACAGTATTGTGAATATCACAAGGATCCCGGCCATGACATGTAGGATTGTCGAGAACTCAAGAGGGAAATCGAGAATGGGGTTAAGTTTGGCAAATTTCAGTAGTACGTACAAGGATCCTCTCGACAAAAGAACAACAAGCCCGGCCTATCACGAAGTTACCCTAAAAGGAACTTCAGAGGCCCCCCATGAGGAGATAGCTAGGGAAACAATTGGCAACCGAGAGCCAATACCCAACAACAGCCTCAGCAAATTGCTTAAGGAACACTGCAACCACTCCAGCAGCTTCCCCCGGTGGATCCTACGAAGTAGATCACCCATCAGGTAGGGGCTATTTACTTAGTGCCCCTCGAGGTCTTGTCTACCATGGCTATGAAGAACTCGCTGTGGACCGTCAAAAGACCCCTCGACAGGAGCCTAGCCACAAGAGGTTCAAGGGAACGGATGCCATTGTATTCACTGATAGCGATGTGGTCCCGGATATCTGCCCGCATAGCGATGCCATGGTTATCGAGGCAATAATTGCAAATGTGAAGGTCAGTAGAGTTTATGTGGATAATGGCAGCGCGGTCGACATCATATATAGTGATTGCTTGAAGAAGATGAATATCTAGAATCCTAACATCCGCCCAGCAACAATGCCCTTGATGCGATTCTTGGGCCACACCATTATTCCAATAGGAATAATTAGCCTTCCCATCTCGGTAGGGTCGCATCCTAGGACGGTAACGCTAACCATGGACTTCGCTCTGATAGATGCACCCTCGCCGTTCAACGTGATTCTGGGACAACCCTGGATGTGCCAGGCACGTGCTGTCTGGTCTCCCTATCACCTAGTAATGAAGTTCCCAATAGAGTATGGAGTTGGAGTAGTACAAGGATGCCAGTGTAGCTCTAGAGAATGCTTGTTCACAACAGTTAGAATCGGGAAAAAGGCTGTGCAATTTAACCCAGGTACCGATATGCTGGAGTGTTACTCAATCCAACAAACAGCTATACCATCACGGGTGGAGGATCACGGAACATCCAGTCTCCCACCAGTCAGCAGCAAGACACAGGAGCTGGTCCTAAACGAGGCGGATCCCACTAAGACCATTCAAATGGGCGTTTCTTTGGATGACATGTTCCTAGCTGAGGTTATTCCCTTGCTATTCGAATTCTGCGATATATTCGCTTGCTCTCCCACGGATATGACGGGAGTCCCTCGAGAGGTTATGGAACACAAGTTAAATGTCGACCCGAACGTCAAACCTGTGCTGCAAAAGAAGAGGATATTTGCTCGTGAACACAATGACATCATCAACGAAGAAACAACAATGTTAGTCCGTGCCGACATACTTCGTGAAGTCCTTTGGCCTACTTGGTTTTCCAACCCAGTCTTAGTACGGAAACCTGATAATTCTTGGCACATGTGCCAAGATTACGCTGACCTCAACAAGCATTGTCCCAAAGATTGTTACCTCTTGCCAGTCATAGATCAGATGGTCGAAGGTATTGCCGGATATAGAACTCTCAGTTTCCTCGATGCTTACAAGGGATACCATCAGATCCTCATGGCATGAGAGGATGCAGAGAAGACAGCTTATATTACTGAGATTGGGGTTTATTGCTATGACAAGATGCCCTTTGGACTGAAAAATGCAGGGGCCACTTATCAGCGTCTCGTGAATAGAACTTTTCATGATCAGATTGGCCGAAACATCAAGATTTACGTGGATGATATGGCGATAAAGACTAACAAAGATGAGCAAGTCGCCGCTGATATGCGAGAGATCTTCACAATCCAACGCAAAATTAATATGAAGTTGAACCCCAAGAAATGTACTTTCTATGTCGGGTCAGGGAAATTCCTAGGATACCTTGTTTCCAAGGATGGAATTAGTGTTGACCCAGAAAAAAGAATTGAGGCAATTTTAGCCATGGAAGCACCAAAAATTGTCAAAGTTCAGAAACCCCCAGGCTCCTTGGCCGCTCTAAACAGATTCCTCTCTCAAGCTGCTGAAAGAAGCCTTCCATTCTTCCATACACTTCGCAAAATTAGGAAATTCAAATGGAACGAGGAGTGCCAGAAAGCCTTCTCGGACTTGAAGGAACACCTTAAGCAGTTGCCCGTGTTAGCTAAACCAGAACTGGGGGAAACTTTATATGTCTATCTGGCAGCTCGAGAGAAAGCCATCTCGGCTGTGCTCGTGCAACGCAAAGATGGCAAAAAAAAGTCTGTCTACTTCGTCAGTAAAGTTTTACAAGGGGCAAAAACCCGCTATACACCCATGGAAAGACTCATCCTCAGCCTGGTCTTAGTCGCTCGACGCCTGCGTCCATACTTCCAGGCGCACCCCATCATGGTTTTGACGGAGCAACCCATCCAAGAAGTCCTACTCAAGTCAGAGGCTTCCGGTAGAATGATGAAGTGGGCAGTCAAACTGGTGGAATACCACATCGAGTACAAACCACGAGCAGCAATCAAAGGACAAGCATTTGCAGATTTCTTGGTAGAAATGCCTCAAGCTGTCAACGTCCCAGAAATTGTGAAACCCAAGGATGTTCCTGCTACTCACGTCAACATCAACCCTCGAGCGTGGATACTATACGTCGACGCCCAAACCATTAGCCGATCCCGATATCGAGAGGATGAAGGAGTATGATGCGGAGTATACATATGCGTTAAGGTTTGGATTCCCGGTTACTAACAACGTGGCCGAGTATGAAGCATTGATAATAGGACTGAATATAGCACTAAAGCTCAGGGTTCACAGAATTCAAGTTTTTAGTGACTCTCAGGTGGTGGTGAAGCAAATCTTGAGCGAGGATACATCAAATGATGAGCAACTCATGCGATATCTCAAAAAAGTTCTCGAGATCAAGGACAAGTTCGAAGAATGCACCATATCTCATATAGTCCGATTGAAAAATAAAAGGGCAGACGCCCTTAGTAAGTTGGCTTCCTTGAAATTTGCACACCTCAGTCACAAAGTGTGGGTCGAGATTCTCTCCGAGCCTAGTATCCAAAAAACTCCCGTAATGACTATCACCGAGGACGAAGACACATGGATGACCCCGTTCATCCGATATCTTACAAATGGTACATTACCAAGTGGAAAAGCAGAAGCTAGAGCCCTCCAGTTGAAGGCGGTTAAATACACACTGAAAGATGGTATCTTGTACAAGCACGGATACATGCTATCCATGCTGAGATGTTTTTGCCCAAAGCAAGCAGCTTACATCCTCGAAGAAGTACACGAGGGGTCATGTGGAGCACATATGGAGGCAAGAGCACTTGCTAAGAAGGTCCTACATTCAGGGTATTTCTGGCCGACAATCTTCAAGGACGCATACCAGTTTGTACAAAAGTGCGATAAATGTTAACGCTTTTCTCGCATCACTCGATAGCTGCAGCACGAGATGGTCACCATTAAAAGCCCTTGGACATTTTACCAATGGGGTACCGACATTATCGGCCCTTTTCATCCAAAAGGGGCAGGAGGAGTAAGATGGGTAATCGTAGCAGTAGATTACTTTACCAAATGGGTAGAAGCTAAACCGTTGGCCTTGATATATAACAAGAAGGAAGGTGTTGCATTTTTTCTGGTAGAACATCATATGCCGCTTTGGAGTCCCAAGGGTTGTCGTCTCTGACAATGGGACCCAATTCAAGAGTAATCCCTTCAAGTCGTGGTGTGAGGAAATACAAATCGAGCGTCGTTTCTTAAGCGTAGCTCATCCTCAAGCTAACAGTCAGGCGGAATCCATCAACAGAACCATCTTACATGGGATCAAGACCAGGTTGTATGATGCTAAAGGAGCATAGGCTGGCGAGCTTTCTCATGTCCTATGGTCATACCGTACTAATGCTCATTCCTCAACAGACGAAACTCCGTACAGCTTAGTGTACGGCATGGATGTAGTTCTCCCAGTCGAAATAGGCTTGTCGAGTCTTCGAACAATAAAATTTGTCGAGAGCACTGATGACGATAACATCAAGCTGAACCTCGACCTGCTCGAGGAGTGGCGAGACGCAGTCAGAATCTGAGAAGCAAAGTATAAGGAGATTCTGCAAAAGCATTACAACAAGAGAGTGAAGGCCACGGATCTCGTGGTAAGCAATCTCGTGTTAAGAAAAAATGAAGCCAGTTGAGCAAAAACTCCTGGAAAACTCACAGCAAATTGGGAAGGGCCCTACGAAGTCCTCTAGGCTTCCCCAGCAGGGAGCTACCGCTTGCAAGCCTTGGACAAGAGTGGAACTATTCTCCCCCGATGGTTGAACATTCAGAACCTTTGCAGGTTCTATGTTTGAATCTTTGTTTGCTATATCCTTATCCCAATTGTGTGTTTTATTTACCTTATTTACTTTGTTAGTTTTTTCCCATATGTAATGCTAACCCGGGTCCTCGGGTAATTATTCAATAAAAGTCATTACATATTCTTTTTCATTGTCGACATCTTATTCATTACTAGCCATCGAGATAGACTCCCTCCTTAGGGCCATCCTCGTTAAAGAGCCATGTATTCAACATCCGGACACAAACCGAGGAATCCTCCTCGTACCCACTGCAGATCGCAGTGTAGAATTGAGGAATTCGTACATAATTCCCTCGATTGAGCCGTGTAATTTACATCCGGCCAACAAGCGCTATACAAATTAAAAACTCGAGTTTCATGAAACCATACTACATTAGTTTCCTTCACACAACTGTGCGAGGACGTAGAAAATATACATATTCTTCTACACTATTACAAGACTTCCCTGATAGGATTATCAGGAGAAGGACGAATAATCCTTTAAACCCATGCTGACTAAGGAGATTTACACATTGGTTCAGTTTATCCTTGAGATCCACAATCTCTTCATCTTGGGCATGTACCTTCATGAGCAGTTCTTCTCGAGAACTCCGGGTTCGAGGATCGGCAACTGCTTCAGGCTTCTCGAAGATTGGGAAGTCAATCTGGTGGTCTAATAGTAAGTTCTGCAGGTCGTTGATATATCCCAGGAGAAGCTCGACCTCCTGAACTCTCTCCTTCAACATTTCCATTGCTGCAATGAAGCTACGAGTTCTTATGGATATCATGTGCTGTACTCGAGCCAACACGTGGTGTTTCTCTAGAAACCATTGCGATACGGCGATCTTTTGACCTTGTCTCAGCTGTGTATTTTCCCTCTGTAGGTCAACAAGTTCGTCATGAATATCGGCCTCGAATGTCAAGGAATCCCCAAAATCTTTGTCTTTTTGGAAATCTCGTCGTTACATCTCTGCATGAAACTCTTTGATTTCGTTAATCAGATGTTGGTTGACTCTCACATTGTGTGTGCGCATCATGTCGAGGAGGTCAACCTCCAACTTTTTTACTGTCTTGACGCTGTGAATGTCTGCACGACCCCTCATGATACCACTAATCATGGAGTATGGGGGGAATTCTTTTGCCTGTTCTTCTGATAACACCATGAGGTGAACACGATGAACAGACCAACCATCCTGTTCCAACAGAGGAGTAGAAAACATTTGCATTAAGTCGAAAGAATGCAAAAGGAGCAATATCCATTGACGAAAAAAGCGAAATGACAATTCGACTGCGAATTCTTAGGCTTAAAAATCCTAGCAACTATTACAAGAAGAGAAGGTTCATACAGCATCTCGATCAAGCGGCATATCCATGGATTGAGACGTCTCCTCAGCCTTTTTCTGCACCTCGGAATGGCCAATGTCAGCTACATCCTCATCAATAGCTTCATCATCAGCATCTTCGAGCTCGATCCCCGTATATTCATCTGGCACATCAAGGATGGACTCCTCTTCACTTGGGCCCTTGGCAAAAATTGTAGGGGCATCTCCAAGGAACGACGCAATGTCCGAGGGAGAGTTCATTTTAGCCATGACTCCTGTCAGGGCTTCCTATAGGGGCAGTTGCTCGATGCTGAGCTTGGTCAAGACCTTCACCATTGCCTCGTGCATGGTTTTCTTTGGCTCCGGAATCAGGAGTTGTTTGAACCATTTGGCCTTGATAGGTCTGTCATCTCTAAGCCTCTTAAGGCCCGCCAGAGCAACTCGGTGTGCGCCACATTTAGTTGCAATCAGGTTCACCTCCTCGATGGCTGCTGCCATCCCACCTGTCGACATCATCCTGTATATGAAGGCAACACACCACTTGTGCAGGTCCTCCTTCGATATGTATAGGTTGGCATAACCCTTAAGTTGCTCCTCGAACTCGTTGAACTTAACCTGCACGGCAGCCAATTCCTGCTTTATGCCCAATACTTGCCTCGACTTTTCTTCCAGAATGATCTTCTCGTTCAAAGCCTGATCTCGTTCGGCCCGTGCTAGGACCAACTCTTCTTTCAACTTTCTTATGTGCATTAGGTTCGCCATCGAGCACGGACTCATCTGTATACAATTGAGGTGTCAAGGAGAATTTCTCTAAACCATGATCACAAGCGTGGGTAATCAATTAGAATGGAAACCTTACCAGTCTTATGCTATCGGTTTCATTCAGCTTCGAGGCGAATTCTTCTAGCAAGGGACACTCGACTGTTGGTGGCTCACTAAACGTGTGGATTGCCACTGTAGGTTCTCCCTCAAAAAGTTAGGGGGGGGGGGTAATAATAGTGCCCCTCCGTCGAGAGGGTTTGCACCCTTGTTGGTAGTGGAAGAGACATTTGTCCTAGGCTCCAAGGGCGGAACCTTAGGTTCTTCAGCAATAGGGGGGACATTTTTCTCTAACTGTGCTAGATTCCCAGTCCAGGGCATGTCGGATTTTGCCTTCTTGTTTTTCTCTTTCTTCGAGGCTTTGACGATTCGCCTCTTTTTCTTCTTCTGGCTAGCAACTGCAGTTGCCGTGACTTGTTCATCTGAATTTACAATGGGAAAGGGATCTTCATCACCAAATAATCGAGAGCCAGTATTGCTCGAAGACATGACCTAAAAGCAAACAAGGAAGTACAAATGATTAGTACCTTTCTTATCTTCAACAGGGGTTTCAAGAGGGGCCTCGAGTGGAATCTCGACAAGGTTCTCTTTCTCCTCTTCCTCGATAGGAATGGTGTGAGTAAAATGTTGTAACGCATCCCATCTTACAACCTTGGAATACTTTTCGAGCTTCTTCAAGTCCTCATCGAATTCCTGGATCTTTTCTTGATCTTCATCCGTCCATTTGTCCTTTATCGCCTCATATCCGTTGATCTCTCAATAATTCCAGGCGATGCGGTATTTCTCCGGTGCTGTTACTTAGAGAAAGTTTGGCTTCCATATGGGGTGACAAGCCGTCGTCACACTAGTCAAATAATAATTACCTACTTAATACAATTACTAGTAGTAAAGTAGCAAGCAGGGTCGATCCCACAGAGAAGGAATACTAATTACCAGGTATAAATTACTCCTATTATTATCTAGATAAATGATGATCGCAGGTTTATAAAATTTAAAACTAAAATAAATAAATAAAATAAAGGCAAATAATATTAATTCAAATGATCAAACAAAGAAAACCTAGGACATTGAATTCACCTACCGAATATTTGGTTTAGTTCAGTTCACAAATATTTGACTTTTAACTTCCATTAATCTCACAACGATTCACCTAATTAAGAACTATACACTCTCGTGCTATAATTCTCTTACTTAGATTAACCCTATGACTACTCTCGTGACTATAGGGATTAACAAAAGCACATTAAGACCATTAAGAATCAAATATTGCAAAGGTTATAATCTTACTCTCGTAGCTTACAACCTAAGTTTATTATTCCTACGAACTAATACTAATCTTCTACTCTCGCTACTTCAATTAGTATCTTCAGACATTCAAATAGTGGCCAATTACTTACACGAATTAGAACAAGAATAACAAATATTAATTAATGGAAAAATCAAATAATAATGAACTAAATAAACCAAATAAATTCGGTGGCTATACCCAAGCCCTAGATTAAAAGAATTTAGCCACTAAACATTATTAAAAATAATTCAATAATATTTAGAGACATAATAAAAATAAATAAATTAAATAGATTAAAACTTCAAAACCCGGAAGACGCCAAAAAAACCCGCCAAGAACTCCCCGCCGGTTGCTAACTCTGCTTTGCGGCTGCTGCTTCGGTGGTGATGTGGCTGGTGTGCGCGGCGGTGAAGAGGAAGGCGGAGATGAGGAAGAAGGTGCGTTGGCGGTCGATGGTGATGATGCTGCCGGCTTGGAGAGGAGGGAGTTTGGCGGTGATGGAGGAGGAAGAAGGGCTGGTGCGTGGCTGCCTCGTGGAGTTGGAGGAGAGGAAGCAAGGTGTTGCGGTTTCGGCGGTGGGATGAAGGAGGAAGATGATGGAGATCAAGGTGGTGCTGCGCGAGGGTGGTGGCTGCCGGTGAAGGAGGAGGGAGTTTGGTGGTCGGTGAAGAAGGAAACAAGAAGGTGAAGTGCTGGGGAGGTGGTTTGCAGCCGTAAGGTTTTCGGCCAGTTTTCGGTTCACTTCTGTTGTAAAAATAAATCCCTAATCCTCTTTTTATAGGCTTCTGGCTAAACCCTACTCCTTGAAGAACAAGAAAACTTGTTTCCCAATTAATATCGGGATTAAAATTCTTATCCAATTCCAATTCCAAATCAGCCGCACATTCATCGTAACCTTCGGCCAATTTCCAAAAACTTAATTAAACATTCCAAATTTGCATCATTGGCCCTCCAATTCTCTAAACTCATTAATTTCTTCCCCATCAATTGCTCCAATCTTCAATTCTTTCCCATTGAGTTGCTTTTAATTCGATTTTAGCTCAAAATTTCAACAATTCTTCATTTGAGTACAATTCCTAAATTAAAGACAAAATCACATAAATAGCATATTTGTACTCAAAATATATTACAAAAATCACAAATTAGGGATATAATAAATAGGTAAAATATAAGCATATCAAATACCCCCAAACTTGAATTATTGCTTGTCCTCAAGCAATCACAAAGATTAAACAAACAAAAACATTTAATTATTTAATTTGGCGGCCTCAGAGATTCAATCACATCATATAACACAAAGATTTCGACTACCTCTAGTATGGACTACCTAACAATGCAAACCATAGTTACTTTTAGCCCCCATGCTTGTGTGTGTGTGCTTCGTCTCTTAGGGACATCACTTTACATTTAACATAGAAAACAAAAGCTCTACTGCAAATATGCCATTTTACTTTGACAACAGACTCACATTTCATATCATATTTCAATGGAATGGACCACCAGACATGCTATGAAGTAGAAGGACTTATGTCACAGACAACCTATTCCCCCTCGTAACCCATTCTTCGGTCCATGCGGCTTTTCTTCAGGACTCTTTCCAACTCAGGCCACTCAGAGCATTTTTCCACTCCTATACATAGTGGCTCAGCAACTTAGGGCAGTCTACATATCTATTTTCCTCACCGGGCCTGAGGACTCTCCGCTCAGGTTGCCAATTCCTCACCTCTCAAGGGGCTAGCATCAACATTGAATGCTCTTCCTTTCTCCCTCATTAAAATTAACCTAATGATAGACTCCATAAATTATGCTTTACTTGTTATTATTTTATGAGTTTATGGACTTGGATGGTTTTAATTCATTAAGTTTTATTAATGTTTTGTGTTAGGAGCTGGGAATCGGAGTTTACAACTTTTTGGAGCTAATTGATACAAAAAGAGTCTGAAAAAAATCATCCAACTTGAGCAAAGGAAGAAGTTCACTCCAATGATGGACCTAATTACAAAGTATTGAAGTTGTTGGGAGAAGAAGCTGCTAATAAGAAGCTTTATGGACTGAATTTTATCATTAAAGAAAGTTTGGGCCAAATTGAAAGAGAGTTAGAAGTGGAAGGACCAATGCTGCAATTTGTTGTTTAACTTTTGGCAGCATACGGCTGACCTAATTCTATATAAGGCCGTATGTTTTCTTGTTTTGGCCATCCTTTTTTCACTTCATCGCACGGCCGTCGTGTCTTTTTTTTTGTTCGAAGAAACAACAAAAGTGCGCAGCTTTTTCTTTGGGCTTTGGAGGTCAGGGCTGTCTCCGTTTCTCCGGGTTTTCAATTCTTCGAGACTTGGTACTATTTTTCTATGAATAAATTAGCTATCATGTCCATGGTTATGAGTAGCTAAACCTTTTGTTTCTGATTCAAGGAATTTAATTCAATTATTTTACATGTGAGGTTTTGGTTTTAATTTAATCTTGTCTATGGTTTGAGTTATTTGTTTTTTCTTGTTTTAAATTTATGAGAGTGAATACCAATTAAATTGACAACTTGGTTGTGTATTTTCTTTTTATTGCTATCATTTGGTTGTATGTTACGTATTTGACACGAACCATTGGAATTTAGTAGCAACTAGGTGGACCATTGGTATTTGTGAGACTTGGATGCTTTTGTATGCCTAGGAGTAGGATCGACAAATCATAATTTAATTTATTGTAGCTATCTCAATAATTTTGAATTGTGTTTCAAGCATATTTCCTTGGTTTTTATTGTTATCATTGATTTGTATGGAACGCTATCGTGTCCAGCGTTTAATGATAAGCGCTAACTGAATGCTAGGTTTGGTTAGTTAATTTAGGGGAATTTTATGTTTACTACGGCTCTCCTAGTATGCTTGAACTTGAGTGCTCGAACTGCAAGAATAATTTTAGTTACCAATGATCTGTGAAATAATTGGATGATCCGTTCCTTGAGTCAGAACCTTTGTGATATTGAATTTTCTCCTGGTTTACCTATCCTTGCTTTTAAAATTTGAAATTTTATTTTGTCTTAGTAGTTAGTAAATCAACAAACAAAATCTTTTTGGACATTGTCAAACTAAGAACTAAAAATCTAGCTCCTTTGGGATTCGACCTGGTACTGCTACTACTACAAAATTTGTAGTTCGGTAGGATTATCGGATTAATTTTTGGGTGCCTCGACAAGCTTACCAAAATTTGGCGCCGTTGCCAGGGAGCTAAGAAATTAGTTTCCTAGTTTCGCCATTGTTTTATTTTGCTGATTTTTGTGAACTAGATGCCTTTGTTGTGTTGGGCGTGATCACGTCTAACGTAATAAACGTTTCTGAATTTTATTTTTTTTTGAAAAATAAAAATAAAATCTTTTTCTCTTACTATAAACCTTTTCCCTGTCAGGTTGTTGCTATCCTAAGGTTCAGTGCTTAATACTTTGTTCACTCTTACGTTGCTTTTGTGGCTTATGACCAGAGCGAATCCACAAGGTTCATTGGAATTCATTCCTGAGATTGAAAAAGAAGCTCGTAAGCGAAGAAAAGAGAGTAAGAAAAAGGAAGGTGAATCGTCCGAACTGGTAACTTTTGATAGTGAATTAGATAATTCTGATTATTCTGTGCAGGAAGAAAAACAGGAACCAGAACCGGAAGAAGAAGATATGGGAGACAACAACCTC